CATATCTTTCCTTTAGGTATTCATAACATTTACTGTGGAAAATTACTAAGTGCATGGATAAACGTATAAAATTAAAATATCCCTTCAGGATCACCGAATCAGAGAACAACTGTAGTCGCTAGTTGCAGGACGATGAAGAGCTGGGCAGATATCATCATTATAAACTATGACTAATACGCTTACAAAGCTTAAAAAGCAGCTTACATTAGCAATTTTTGAAAAATAGGTCTCTGAGGCTTCTGAAAGGAAAGGATTATTCCGAACTTCAGTTTTATTTTATCGGCACCTGCATTAACAGGATTCCTAACAGAATGTTTTGCTTAAATTTCCAATACTCCAGAACTTGAGCTCTTATTCCAAAAGTATTCGAAAGCTCAGGTTAACTCCACATCATTTTAATAAATGCTGGAATAACTAATCCATTTCTGTACATCTCAGGAGAGTACTAGCTAAGACATATAAGTACGGATTAATTTTCCTCGCTTGATAATCGGTTGATATATGGACTATTTCAATTATTTTAAAGCCTTAAAAATATTTAGAATTTTCTATTTCTGAAAGAATTCTTCCCTAAAATAAAGATTAATTATTCTCTAGCGTCTGTTCGAAGAGGTACATTAGTAATTAGATAGGAGGATATATGCCCCTCATTGCTTTTAAATGATTCATTATAATTATTTCTGAAGTAATTATAATTTATTACTTTAGAAGTAAACAAAGAAAATAACATAATTCCTTAAATAACAGACCTGGTTTTAAAGTCTATAAGGAGATACAACATAACTCTTAAAATACATTAACATTTTATGTATTTATTTTATGAATTTAAATTAGTATCACTGTTTTAGAGATTTATTAATTTATTAACTAATTGTTATTACATCTACGAAAAAAGGCATTAGCTGCACACTGCATTGCTGGCCTTTGTTTCAACCTGTTAGCTGTACAGAATTTCGATCTGAACTTGCTGGATGGTATCTATAAGGTGTGAATAACAATTGACTACAATTCAGTAAAATATGCAATATTTAATCAAATACCATACATAATAATGCCACATACAGTAATATAATTAATTATACGCAGATACTAGTTCTCTATATACTAATCCTACTAAACAATTTTTTAGAAACAAAATATAAAATACCTCGTATTTTCGCGCATTAAGCTGCTGAAAAATTTTCAGTAAAGTCATAAAGTAAAAAAATTAGAACTGATTTTTTCACAAAGACCAAATTTGAAATTCATAATTAATAAATTTCAAATAATCCTTTAAATGCAATAAATTATTTAAATATGTTAAAACCAAAACTTTTCAAACAATCAATACCCCAATTAAAAACGTTAAAGAAATATAAAGAAAAACGAACATAATAGAAGACTAATTCAATCAACTTCAATGACACTTCGTTAGGAGGAGGAATATTTCGTCAGGAGCAGGACATTTTAATTAAGTCTTTTCACTAAAGTTTTATAATTTCACTTACATTTTAAATTCTTTGGATTATATGCTATTTGTTTAAAGGTAAAATAATTTTGATTTGAATTTTTCATTGAAGTATTTTATTATTATTTCACTTACGTTTTCATTCTTTAACTAGAATACATTTTTATAAGGTACAAGTTCTAATTTACTAAGAGAAGTACTAAGAATTTACTTTGTTTTTACCTTGCTTTGGAGAGGGGCCTGAATTTTCGGGTGAAATATTATAATTAAAATACATTGAAATGGTTCATCGGCTAATTCTGGATACAGAAGAAGAAGGATTTTTGTGGAGGACCGATTTCAATTGATTTCAGTCTTCCTCCTCCTGACGAAGTGGATTCAAATTGATTGAATTCCTCCTCTGTTATGTTCGTTTTCCTTTAAATTTTTTGAATTGGGGTATTGCTTCTTTGAAAATTTTGCGTTTAACACTTTTTATATTCTTTATTGCATTTATAGGTTTTTTTAAAATTTATTAATTATGAATTTCAATTTTTGGGCTTTGTGAAAAATTAGTTCTAGATTTCTTACTTTATTATCTGTAATACTACTATATACACTACTTCTATATATTCTGCATATATACTAATATCTTTACCATATTATTATTATAGGATGGCTGTAATACATAATTAAAAACCTTATGGCTAAGGATGAGAGGCGACATACTACCAGGCGGGTGTCCGTCGAGATAGTTGCGATTTAAACATCACACAGAAAAATGTTGCGCAGAAAACATCGTCAACGGGAAATCATTGTTGAGGAAAATATCGCAGTTCTAAAACATCGGGATATAAAGCATCGCCGTGTAAAATAAAGCGGTTGATTAGGTTACTTAATTATGGCAAAGCCTCAAGGGCTATCTGCCTAAGAGGAGGGATGCTTTCGTGGAGGACGTCCTAAAGGAAACTGGCTCGTATACACGTTATACATGGGGAAAAACCACGAAAACACCCATGCAGCCAGCCCGTTCACGGGATTCGAACCTCGGACCGAACTGCCAGTGTTCAGCGGCTTTACCGCTCAAATAAACTGGTTGAAAGACTTCACAGTTTGTCAACCAGTTTATTTGAGCCAGTTTATCTTATATCAACCAGTTTATCTTCACAGTTGAAAGACTTCACAGAGTAACATCGTAGAAAATATCGTGGTAAAAATAAAGCAGCTAATAATCGGATGATGATAACATTAAGAAGTGTTTTCAAGCTTAAATGCATGTTTGCATAATGATTTGTGAATGCAAGAAGTACTGAGGAATATTTTTACCTCTAAATTTCAGATTTTTGAATTATACATTTTTGCTCAAAAGCAAGAAACATCCAAACTAAGTGAAAATGAGTAGAAAATTTATGCTACAAATAGCAGCTAAAAGATCTTAAAACTTAGGCAGTTAATTAAAGAACATCGTTAAATTAATCTCTTTTATGAAGTTTGATTCGTAGTAATACCTTAAAAATCATTTAAAAACTTTTAAAATCTAAAAACACATATCTGCGATGATTTGTAGGTGCTTTACCTTTTCACCTTTTCCCGCAATATTTCTATGATGATTTTACTACAAAACTTTGCTTTTTAATTCCTACGACGATGTTGTTTTCTCAGCGAGGTTTACGTCAGCGACGTTTCTTCCTGTAACTCTACAGGAGTAGTTATAAATAGTAATATGTATAATCCATCACTTTGCCAGTTATCTCTATGTTATAGCCAAAATGCTTTAGATACTTGAAAATGAAATGTGTCTTGGTAAAGTACTGAGTCTGTTATGGTGTACTGCGGTGAAGTTCCATATGATTTTGCAGCAGGCCAACTAAGTATTTTTAATGTTATAAGATTCATAATGATGTAACCCATCTCAGTGGAGATTAGAAATTATATCCTTATAACACTCCTTCCAGTTTGTTACGAAATACTAGAAAAATACTGTAGGCAGTGTCTCAATGTACGCCCTTAGTTGCATGCAAGTATTTTGTAAATATTATGTATATTGTTTATATATTGTATATACTCCCACTACTTATTGATATACTTGAATGTATCAGGACTAATTCTGCAATATAAGAGATTTCTTTTTTTATATCGCTATAACTGCTTATTATTGTTTTACTTGCTTGCGCACTTACCTTCGCCTTAGGCGTGTCGTTCGGACTCTCCTCACGTGGTTCACTGGTTCACCGTGCTATAGACTTTGTTACCGAAGGTAACCCAAGGTACCTGTAGTAACCTTTTCGAGGTACCTGTAGTAACCTTTTCGAGGTACCTGTAGTAACCTTTTCTAATAAATATGCAATTGCCTGAGCCGACGGAGGGGAAATTTTAGAAGCGGCGCATGCGCGTTAGTTGTAAGCGACGCTAATCGTCTGTGAAAAACTTTTTTGTTAGCTTATAAGGTATTTCTCCCGTCTTCTTAGCATGCCTTCGAGGTGTATCGATCAGCACGCTCGACGCGTATTCGAGAGGTCCGTGGTTCGTGTCCCGGCGAGGGCATTGCTAATTTTTCATCTCTCCTGCTTTCAAAAAATACCCAATGTCTCTACAAGCTTAATTTCTGTTATACATCGTTTTAGTTTTTGTTATAGTATTTGCATCGAACATGTGGCACCGATTTGGTAATTATCGCCAGATAGTTTAGTGTGCATTCTTTTCTGTAATGTAACTGAAATGTTAGGATTTTTTTAGAAACAGTGCCTGAGTGTCTCTGTAGTAAATAAATATACTAAATTTCAAAGCGTGATTACATTTATTCTATAATGTGTCTACGTGTATAACTATTTACGGAGTGAATTCAGTTTCTTTCACAGTTGTCATGCTTGAAATCTTCTCTTGCGTACATTTTATGCTATTTGGTGCCTTTACATTCTTATTACGAATGCTTAACAAAATCAAATATTCGAAAATCTATATAAACACATTTAAATATACTAGTGATCAAAAACATATTAATAATTATTAAATCATCATCGCATAGCTAAATGTGTGGGGAGTAACATTTTTGTTAATTAGATACCATAACCAATTGCACTGTGATATTTCCAGCCTTTACAAATGACATGAATTAGAAATTGTTATAACCATTCTTCAATACACTAAAACCTATTTACAGCTTCTGGTTTAATAAATATGCAATTAGATGTTACTACTCTCTATGGTAAATTATATAAAATATCCATCTGACTAGATCCTGACAATATCCAACTGACGTTCAAGTATACTTCGTGTTTTAATTTATTTAAATACTACAAAGCTTAATATTCGATTTTATGTCGTTATTCAATTTTAATTATTTGTCCCGTAATCATAGTTTAAGAGAATTTAAAGTATTAAACGTTCCTGAAAGCACAAATTTATATTACTTTAAAATTTCCAATAGAATGAATGTTCTTTTCAGTGCTTAGGGCCTGACAGATTTTTAATATAAAGTTTCTCGTTAATGATTTTATGAGAATTTGTTTCACTTTCCTAATAGACTGATTATGAACACAGAATAAATTCTAAATTAACAATAGATTTCACGTACTTCGAATTTGAAATCCTATACCACACTGCTGGGTTTCTACTGGAATCTGGCACTCACTCCACTCGCCTGTGTTCCATTCATATGTAGATAATCTCATTTCCTCATCGTCTATGTTCCAAAGTTTCATATAAGACTGAGATTTATTACTGGGTTCAAGGCAATTTAAAACAGATGAGCACGGCCTGGCTTCCAGACGATCTGGACAAGCTTTTCCCCCATTTTGGGACGCCTGCAGTACTATTCGATGCCTATATTGCACTGAATTTACAGGAAAAAGAACAAATATAGCATAAATTACAGAAAAGAATTATATATCTAAACCATAATATAATAATATAGCATAGGAATATTAATAAAAGAATCACTTAATGGTTATGAAAATAGTGTTACGAAATATCCAGCTGCGGTAAGATAGCTTCCCCGCCAAGCGGGTTTAGGGTTGCCAGATTTGGAGCAAAATAATAGCCTACTTGGCGACAAAACTATCGATATGCCATAGACAGAGCAAGAACATTCTAGAATGAATTTTACCAGTTTTCCCGAGAATGACAGGTCAAAAGCTATATATACTCTGCCTGTACGCTGGTTAGAAGTTTATTGTGAAGAGTACTGAGCAGTATGTTGAGTTCAGTAGATGAGTTCAGAGATTAAATTGACAGTGATCGATCGAGTCGGAAGCTGTAATTTAGTGCTTTGCCTTGAAGCTGTCTTCTCCGTTATAGCCTGATAGTCTGAAGGCTATGTTGCTGATTGTTTCAGCGTGCTTGTCGTAGTTTTTCGACGGCTTTGAATGTGCCTTTGGAAGTCTCCTGTGTAATACTGACGAATAAATTGTGTTTTGATTCTTCATCAAGTGTTGTCGTCAATCGCTCCAAATCCACAAACCAGCAGAACGCAGGTAAATATGTAAAACCATTTTTATATACATATTCTTTGCTTTCGCAGAACTCGTCATTCAACTGCTGGTCGTCAGCAGAGAAGGAGCAATATTCTAACGCGGAGAAGGCTCATATGCACGTTATGGACAAGGCTGCAAACAGCAGTACCGCAGAAGTTGTAAAACTTTACCCGGAGGAACTTTCAAACAGAACACTGCCTGGTCGGAGAACATTTTACCGCTTGCACAGGCAACGTTTGGAGACGAGCCCGTTCTGCCTCCAAAGGCAGGTTGAAAGAGGATCGCGAGAAAGGTAGTCGAATAGAGACAATCATTGAAGCAGTATGTGTGTGTGATTATGACAAAGCCTCGAGCACTATCTGCCTAAGGGAAGAGATGCCTTCATGGAGGACTTTCTAAGGGAAACTGGCTCGTATACACGTTACACATGGGGAAAACCACGAAAACGCCCATACAACCAGCCCGTTCGCGAGATTCGAACCTCGGACCGAACTACCAGTGTTCAGCGGCTTTACCGCTCGGCCGCTGGTGTGCCTCATTGAAGCAGTGGATGAGCAACCTGCACGAAGCGAACGAGCAATAGCTAACCAAGGTGTCAACCATATTACAGTAAGGTGTGTATGGCATTAAGACAGGTTACACCCTTACCATCTGTACCGGGTCCAGGCTTTAAATGAAACGATTTTCACACAACGAACACAACGAATAATAGTTTTACGTTAGTTCCTGCAACATAGAATACTGCATCCATAGTTTGCAGCATCTGTTCTCTTTACGGACGAGGCTACGTTCACATATAGCGGCATATTTCACATAGACGACAGTTATGTGTACGTAACAGTAAATTCGCATGCTAGGAGTTCGGGATGTCGCCAGCAAAGGTTCTCCGTAGATGAATCCGCAGGGATTATCTAAGATCACTTAACTGGACTTTACCTTTTACCATATTGTCTAGACGGACAGAAGTACCTCATCTTCGTTTAGCAGACGCTGCATACGTTTCTACAATATGTGCCAGCTTATATTCGAACTGTTATGTGGTTCCAGCACGACGGAGCGCCAGCACATTCTTTCAGAATTTTGCTAAACTACTTTTCCGATTAGATCGATTGGTCTTGGTGGGTCCTCTTGGCCTCCCAGATCTTCCGATGTCTGGGAACAGCTTAAAAGCGTCACTTATGAGATACCCATCGAGTGACCAAAGAACTATTTCGCCCGAATTAGTGTCATAACTGCATATCCTAATGAAATTCTTTATTTATTCGCCTTTATTCTGTTCTCCATTTTCACCAAGCAAGCGCCCTCTCGAGGCTCGCCGTTTGCTTTGCGACATCACATTGTGTAAGGAAAGTTGTTCGTTTTGGAAAGTTTTATTACTCCTTACAACTGTGACCTTCAGTTTTATTAAAACCTGCATATGTTATATACGGCAAAGGCGCTTCAAACTGATTTTATTTTGATGCAAAAATTAAGATTTCATTTATTAATTTCTGTAAATCTGAAATGCAGAGAAAAGCAAGTTCTGCAAGTTTATGAATCGCTGAATTTGGAAAAAAATTGCTAAAACACGAAAATTTAATCCTTAATTCCATTGTGGATATTATAACACAAACATAAGATATAAAATATGAAAGAAAACTAATGACTTTAATTTAACAGTAGTCCTTTTAATTTCTCATTTTAATTTGACTACGTCCACTATCTCGAAGCCGTTTTTTCTGTGAAGGGGCACGGGGCTATATAAGATATTAAATACGAAAGAAAACTTTAATTTAGCAGCAGTCTTTTTAATTGCTTATTTTGATTTTGCTATCTCCTCTTTTTGCCTTAAAATACTAATATATGAAACTAAAATGCGTCATCTGAAAATTAATCTGCATAACGCCATTGCGAAAGAATAGCATTCAATTGCAGCTCAAAATTTAAATAGAGGAACCAAGTCTATAAATACTGCTGTTACTATTTGTGCAGTATTTTTTTCTGCTTCACCTGCTGCTTGATACGCATAGTTTGCTGCTCCGCTTCGTCCTTTGTCTAAAAAGATGAAAGGTGTACAAATTGAGAGGTGCATTAAAGATGATGTATGTATCTATTTATGCTTATCAAGGGTTGCTCTGTTACGAAAATAAAATTAACTTGAATCAACGGCCATGTTCGAAAGCTTTTCCTCTTCTTTATATCATCTCAGGTGACCACGCAGCTGTTTTTCTAATTTCAAAATATCTACAGAATTTATATTTCATATATATGGGATGTCGTTAGGGTTAAAATACAGGAAGGCAGTAGCATTTTAAACGTATTTAATAATGAAAGAATAAACATGATTATGGTATGTACAGAGTGAAAGGAAGTAAAATAAAAAGTTCGATTCATCATGAAACGGAATTAAATCATGAAGAAACACTGTCAAGCGGCATAGTCCACGTTGTAACCTCATCTGAATGGCATCTCTCCATTCCTTCACGCAGCTTGAAGAAGTATCTCGCCCTTGTAGCTGTTGCCAGTTTTAGGAAAAGGCAGATGAATTGTAGGAGCGAATGACCGCATATATATATATTATTAGGAAAGGTACTTATATATCATCTCCAAAGGAAAAAAATTAATTAATTCTATGAATTATAAAAAAAAAAAATAGTAAGTATTTTTAAGTAGCTTTCCAAGTTAGTATTTAAAGTTATCTATATCTGTAGTAGTAAAAATTATTTAATCTATAAAGAAAAGTCTTTTGACCGTAAAAATTCCAAATATTAAATTCAAAATCCAAACTACTGAAAAAAATGCTATTTTTATTGATCGCAGATTAAGTGACTGGTCAAGGGGAAGAAACCAATCTACTATCAATTAACAGTAACCAAATTAAGTGACAGAGTTTATTCTTTTTTTTTTTAAATAAGGATTAAATTAGTAATTTTGTTATAGTTTGTAAATTACGAACAATACTCAATTACTAGAAAGAGACTGGTCAACTTAAATAAAAAAACTATCGTAAATAAAATCAAAAATATGAATGAATAAGAAATTCTTCTAATTTAAGTTATACGTTAAGAACTGAATTAGACAATATCCTTATTTTGGAAAAACTATTCCCCGACATTCTCATAGTATTGAAAAAATAATAAAAAAATTATCGATATTTGTACAAATTAAGATATATAAAAGAAGACATACATATTGGTAAAAATGTATAGATGAATATATTATTTTAGATTGAAACACCAAAAATCAAAAGAAAAAATAAAATTTATATATTCTTTAGTATTAAAGCATTAATTTCAAAATAAAAAGTAAAATCAGTATATTATTTTAGATTAAAACATTCTTTTATAATCTATATATATATATGTGTGTGTGTATGTGTGTAATATTTTGGCAGTAGGGCACATAAGTGAAGCTTGGCAATCTGGTCAAATCAGAATTCTGGACATTGTTGTGGTTAAATGTAAGGCTGCATCCAATGATTACACAGAAGGATTTAAATTTATAGCTCCATATCGTAATTAAATTAAAACGGCAGATCAATATTCTTTACTAAGATAAGATTAACTTTAAGTTTACTACATCGTATTATTCGAACAAAGGGAGGCAGATGAGACGTGCAGCAGCATGGGTCTTAACAGCAGAAGGAGAAAGCAGT